CCCCAAAACCCCAAAACCCCAAAACCCCAAAACCCCTTCAAACATATATCATGTTGAAATCGTATTTAAATTTAATGAATTCTTCAAATATGCGGCGAAAATAATAGTATTTCTGTAATTTATCGAGATTCTCCTGCCTCAATAATACGAGAAAATCATTGATCGAAGAGCCCAGAGATGCTATGGCAAATATGGCTACTCATAGTTTAATCTTAAGCACGATATTAAACCATCTAGTTTATCAAGACCAATTTAAGGCTCGACTAGTATCCAACTTAAATGAGATTAACAAAAATCCTCGATTCTCAAAAAGAGTGCCAGCAGAAAAAGATATGGGTTGAGAGATGATTCATCACCATTTCCTTGCTCCTAATTTTTAATTCTTAAGTCAGGATCCTTTCTACTAATGTCGTTATGCGATTCTATTCGGACATTTTTACAGCTCCAGGCTAACTTGGTGAGAATTCCCTCAAAACCCAGCTCTGCTTCATTAAAGATGCATCTAATTCATACCCCAAAGGTCTCAAACTCTTAGTGCCAAGATGACCATCTTTTGGCTCAATTTTGTTATTAACTTCTATACCCTCATGACCTTAAAATTCAGTGAATTTATGAAATCTTCTGAAATTTAGAATTTATCTCACAAAGTAAAATTATAAATAAAGAGTGGTTCATGAAAATATCTAACAATAAAATTGGCCGAGCATACAGACCTCCAACCATGAGAAGTATGGGAAGGTCGTTACCAAAAATTTTGTGATGACAGAAATGTTCGACCATGACCTTTCACTTTTACTTCTGGTAGATCCTCTCTAGGCTTCAGATACAAGCAAGAGAATAGCCACAAGGTCTCTCGCTTGGTTCTTAATATATGAAGATAATACTGAATTTTGCCTTTTAGATAAGTCCTTTGTTAAAGATTAGATGTAATTCATCCTTGGGCACTGTGAAATTATACTTATTTTCAGGTAATCCTACATATACATACTGGATGGATAGATTAGTACAAGGCATCAATCCTTGAAAGGTCTACTTACTAATTTATATAAATCGCTTGAATATTCCAGAGAAGATCTTGGTCTCCGATCCGAAATGTTTATTTGCACATCAAACATCTAAGTTGGTGTCTTTCTGTGAGTCAGAAAAGTTGACTATCTGGGCCATAACTAAAATTGCTATGGCCCGATCAAGAATGGCTCCATACTATCTTTTCCAAACCTTAATCTCTTTGTTCGAATCAAGAAATTCCCCTTTAATCACTCGATTTTGAAGATCTGATGATTCGGTTAAATTTCCAAACTTCAACTCGAACGTTCGCTTCATTTTAAGAGGTGAGATTATGCATTTGAATTAGGTGACAATATTGCCAGTCAGATTTGAAGCGATGATAAATTGCTAAAACCATGTGAAATTATGCAACGAAACACTCTTTAGAGTCGTTTAGGGCCGAGTTCTTTCTAAACTATTAGAAAAAATCCTGGAAAACGACGAAAATTTCCGGACTCCAAAATCTAGGTAGCATAATGTAAATAATTTGCGATGAATACTCTTAACGAAACCCAAGAAGTATTTATCAGTACTAATGTTATTAGGCTTTTGAATTATAGAATATTTCCAAAACTAGAAGGTGACAGTTACTCTTGGCTGAGCGTAAGGCTCTGCACGTCTTAGATTTGGCCCTTTCAACATTAGTAATACTCTAGTACATCTTTAGTTACATAATGGATTTTTAATAACTAATCGCACCAAAACGTCTATTTTCATATCAAAACCTAAGCTTCTTCAGCATATACGACCCATGAGAGATGAAATATGTATTATTCTTCGTTTTTGGACAAATAATGGTGGGCAATCATAGCCACAAATCCATATTTCTTAATATTTATTCGACTTAGAACTTTGATAAGTGGTTTGGAGCTGAGTCACCAAGAATTGGTAGAAGGCTTAGGAGCATTCTGACACTCTTTAGGAGGAGTTCTAACCGACTATAATATCGTTCAGATTCATCAAAATTTAGTCTAGCAGCCCCTAATCTAGTTTTATTAAGTTAAATCATCACCTAGTAAACCACCTTCATCATTTTTCTAATGAAATTTTAAGGACCGTGAGGAGTTATGCCTCCAAATACTCCTGAAATCAATTATTGATATTTCGATGTAAGGGTAAGGAAAATGCAACGATACCTCAAAGTCTGAGATATCGTTAGAAATTCTTAAAATAACATTCTTCTCTAGTGGCCAAATTTATTTGTCAACTCATTATTACATGCAAGTTACAATTTTCTATGAGGGTACGAGAAATGGATGGAGTCTCTAATTTCTCCAGCTGATGGCGAGCACAAGCAGGAGTATTTAGTACTCTTTTCCATCAATTTTCCATAGATTCTTAAACCATTGAGCATCCTTTTGAGCAAACCGAATATTATTCAGATTTAGTTAATTTTCTGAAGTAGTAAAAATGGGTAAAATATTTGAAATATTGAGAAGATTCCCAAAATATGTTAAAAGTGAACAATGAAGGCCCTCCCACTAATGTAGAGATGCTCAAAAGAATTTATACACTAATTATATTATCCTCTGTGTTCTTAAGAATCATTCTGTGTATTTCCTTCGATAGCAGCAGTCGCTCTTCCTTCTATCATTGAAAAGGCAGTCCTGTAAGATTCCTCGCTCACCTTATTGGCTGAAATAATTCTCTCGATGCAGGAGGAAGCGGAGATGAAGTATTTCAGCAAAATTCCTATGTATTTATCCTCAAGTAATTTATCCACTTTGGAAATACTAAACTTATATAATGTATCATGAATCTTATTCACCTCTTTCTTTGGTTTATTCTCTCCAAGAAATTGGGTTCCAATCAATTGAGGAGCCACCAAAGTTCCGACATAGAAGGAAATTTCTCTTATCTCTTGGTGATAAGGCATGATTCTCTGGGCATAGGCGCACAGCTTCTTCTGGAGGAGACTTTTATTGTTTCATTTCTTATAGTCCTTAAAGCCTGTCTTCTCAATAAAATCGTTTATGAAGAACCTTCTAAACTCTCTCAAAATCTTTTTATAGATCACGTCGGCACGGCAAGAGAAGGAGGAAATATTCTCAGTGGGTTCATGAGGGTTCATATCCATCACCTTTGTCTTATCGATCCTCTTCATGGTGAAGGACATCTTGTTCCTCTTTTTCCTAGTCTTTGTTTCCTTAAAGTATTCTTGGGAGACTTTTACTACTTGTTTAGCATTCATCTTGCTAGGATAAAGAGAATTTGTTATGTCTAAGTGCGAGTTTTGAATTCCTTCCAAATTCATGCTTAATCTGTCATCATGTTGACCTCTTGTAGACACTCCAGGAGGGGCTTCCTGCCTATAAGTCGAATAAGTCAGGAACTTTTGTGGAGAAGTAATATTTTGATAAATTAATTTTACAGCTAAAATGGATAAACTAATATCAAGAAGTTCATAAATAGGAATTTCTTTGAAAAAGAAGTCTTGGAGGCTTCTTGCAGGCTGAAAGATACTTCAATATGTGTGTTTTAGTAAAATAAGGCTGTATTCGTATATACTGAGATCATAGGTTAAGTTTTAGCAAAGATTAACAAAACAGGGACCATGAAATTTACCTTCATTTTTGGATTTCACCTGAATTCATATCAAAGAAGCCAGGTATTTGAGGTGGATTTCTTTTGAAAAGAAGAGATTCTTTGAAAGAACTATCTCCTGAGTAGCATTGAGTTGAGTTTTGAGTTGCCTCAAACGGACAACAGCAGAAATTGTCCAAATTTCTTTGCCTTGCAGTTTCAGCACATAGTTCTCTTCTCTGTGAACTTTGTACAAGTCTCCAGCCTGAAGATTGTGGCATCCTCTCACAATGGAGGTTGAGGAACTCTGTCCTGAGATTCTCTACATTTTTGCAAAGCTTTAAAAATTTTGAATCTAGATTACTCATTGTTTTATTTAATTTTATGATTCTTCTTCATTTATATAATCGAACAAAGGGGTTTTGGGGTTTTGGGGTTTTGGGG